TCAAAAGATGTACATAAGGGGCTACACCCCTCTCACATGGGGGTGGGACCCATTGTATAAAATATTTTTTTATTTAAGCGGGTCCCACCCTCATGTGAGGGGGGTGTACACCCTTATGTACACTATGATGTACCTATAGCAAAGCTCATATATCATTTATTTTCCATCGGCTGGGAATCTTGGTTGCCAACAGTGATTTCATGTGTCTACTCAGGTAATTGTGTGCTACTAATTCTTTCTGCATAATCCCTCTTATGCATGAAGAGTAAGGATCAATATGCTTTGAGGTATGCCCGTGGGTGGGTGGGTGCCGGGTGGCTGATTCTCAGAGATGTTTGCGTAGAATTCACTTTTTCCAACTTCATGTTCACCTCGATTTTGAGATTTCTCAGAGAAATAATTGCATTTTGATGTATAACTTGTTAAATGTATTTGCAGAACTTGTGTTATGTTGCTCTTAATTATGAAGCCGAACTCTCTAAAGATACAGAAGCATCTTTTCGAGTTGCATCAGAAGGTTGGTTTACACTCTCAGAGGAGCGCTTTCAAACAGGGGAGGTTTTATTCCAGCCTCGCATGGCAGGAGTGTATGTACATGTCTCTTTATTTTGGCTACTTATAAAATTTGGTGAAGCAGTCTCCTATAGTGTCAGTTCCTTTAGATATATTTTAAAAACAAGATGGTGGTTTATTTATTCATCTATTTTCTATTAAGATTTTTATCAAAGCAAGCTTGATCCATGAGCCATAATAATGGGGGAAATGCCATTCATCTTTTAATGAAGTATATACTTTTGTGGATCAATTGCTCTGGATTTTTTTTTTTTTTTTTTTTTTTTTTTGGCTTACGGTATTAGGTGGAGATTCATCTCCATGCTTCAATAACTTTTGCGAATTTTGTAAATTTATAAACTCCAAAACAACAATGAATGTTGGTTAATGTGAATGGATGAACTCCATTGGACAATATTCATAATTTTTTGTTCACTTCATGCATTATAGCTAAAAAAAATTTCTCTTCTTTATTTTCCCCTTTCTCATAATTAATAATTAATTTGTATATCATGGTCTTTTTACAGGCAGGCGCTGGGTATACATCAGGCCGTGGCACTTTGCATGGATCACTGCCATGATGCTGAATTGACAGCGGTGGATAGTTGGTACAAAACTGTAATATTGGCTGGTGGCAGTGCATGTTTGCCGGGATTAGCAGGTCAAAGTCATTCCTAACTCCCTTTGTTTGGATCTAGTAAAGAAATTAAATATCATTAGAATAATATTATATATGCATTTTGAGAGGGAATAATAACAAACAATAATTTAGATGAGATTCATTGGAAGTTGATAATGTCATTTATTATTTTTCCAGAAAGATTAGAGAAAGCTATATGGACTTCTCCCAGCATCTATCTCTAGTGGAATCAGAGTTCTTCCACCTCCATATGGCGTAGATTCGGCATGGTTTGGAGCAAAGCTTATTAGCAATGTATGCTTCTGCAAACTATTATTGAATACTGCTATTAGTTTTGATCCATAATGCAGCAGTGCACGAATTCGTGCATCAATGGACATAATGATTTTATCCTTTATTTTCTCGTTAACTTAGCCATTGATCATCAGGTTATAAAGTATTAATTATTGAATACAAAGTAACAAATATAATGATCCTACTCTTTTGAGAATAACACTTTGAGAAACTGGATGCAGTTAAGCACCTTTCCTGGATCTTGGTGCATGACGAAAAAGCAATATAGACATTGGACCAGACGCAGGCTAATCTGGTGAAAAAATTCAATATGCTTCGGTAGAAAATGAGGTTTCAAAAGCTGGAGTTTGGAATTTCGGCGTCAGGTGTATATTTTCTCAATTAGGACATCAATCTCGTTTAGTCTTGAATTGTATACTACCAAGAATCATGGTTCCTTTTCTATAGATTTATGGTTTCATAAGTGCTTGTTCTCTGTAAATTTGAAGGTATCTGCAGATGCAGAATTATGATAAGAATTGTAAATAATAACAAAAATAAATGCAGTATGCATATGGGTTTTGCCCATTAGCTGCCGCCCCTTTTCATTAAGCTTTACCTTTTCTATACTACTACACCACATGGGATTGTAGGCACCTAAGTGAGAGAATGCTGCAGCCCGTTCAATACGGAAGACGACTAAATCCCACAATGTTAAGCTCTTCAATAAGCTTTTTCACGATCAAGTCTCAAAGGTGTGATAAACATGTTATAGGGCCTAAGAGATTGTGACGTGTGAGAGAAAAAGATCGAAAAAGAGTTGGCCGTAGGTAGTTTTCCTGTCAAACAAGTTCTCTTTCAAGTAACAACGGGCAATCCGGGAGCACCGGAACGAGGAATTACCTAGACAAACAAGTTTGCATTTGCTAGGCAATCTTACACGAATCTGGACTCCTCCATATTCTCCAGCAACTCACCAATCTCTAGCTGCTTCATCGTGGTAGCATGTATTTCCTGCAACAAAACACGGGAATGGATCAACTATACGCGCAGGATAATTACCCTTTGTTTGCTCAAGCTCACCGACTTCGTCCTCGTAGATTGCTTAAGCATTTGATCCTTCTCTAATGGAATTTCAGCAGGCTTTTTATTTAGTTCCTCCAACACAGAATTTCCAATCTCTGGAGACGCTGGTCTTCACAAACAGCTTCAGTATTAGCTCTTGGATAACTGTCCAGTTTAGGTTCACCTCCCAATGCGTTAGACAGGCAAGCATTCAAAAGGCACATTATGGATTAAGGCAAAAAGTTTGATCATGAAAGATATCAATGTCCTTGCCATAAACGTGAAACTTTTCTTCACAATTTTCTCCTGGATAGTGTCAAACCAGTTCATAACCGGACTACATAGGTCTCACACAAGTAGAAGGTGTCAATTCCGGTGGGCCGACCCGGCCCGCCAACATATGAGCCCGATAACGGCCGCGTGAAAAAAAACCCGCCCACTACGGGTTCCAGGCCGACCCACAAATTTTGGATTACAACCCAGGCCCACCCGCTGACCCATTCAGGTCGAGCCCATACGGGTCGCGGGTCATTCCAAGAATTTTTGATATTGATAGCAAAAAAAAAATTTTTTTTTTTGTTGAATGTAAACTAAAAATTGAATAAAATGATAAATTCATATTTATACCAAGAAATGTTTACATAGAATTCAAATTTAATAATTGAAATTCATATCTAATTACGTGAAGGTATATATTTATAGCAAAGTACATCCCAACTAGGTTGTCACCTATTTTTACTATAATTTATAATTTAAGTACATCCCAACTAGTTTGTCACCTACTTAAGTCTTAACTATTAACTATAATTTAGTTGTTGAAAAATTATATATTTGTTTCTCAATCAATCTTCATGAACTGTAAGATTTTTGAAGTTTTCAGCAACATCATCATTAATTTTATCTTACATCTTTCGATCCGCGAATATCCAATTTTTCACGCATATGAGAGCTTCCAAAATATCTTCTTTAAGTTTAGATTTTCGTTCATCCAATACCATGTTACCTGCACTAAAAGCAAACTCGGATGCCACTGTTGAGATTGAAACTGTTAGTATATTTCGTACCATTTTAGATAATACAGGGTATGACTGCTCATTTAAGTTCCACCATCGTAAAATATCTAACTTATCCACTTCATCTTCAGGTATTAAACTATAATAATCAAATTGATAATATCTTTCTAATTCAGCAGGTGTGG